AGGCCTTCCACTTCGGAAGTAGAGCATATTGTGTGGTCCACACCAGCCCACAGACAAGTATATATACATATGCTCCATCACTCCCAAAACCTCCACACTCTAAGAAACTCTCTCCCTCCAGGTGGCATCTCTAGGATGGAATGCGTTCCTGTAAGTTGTATTGTCAGCTGTGAGACCCGCCTGAGTCACCAATCTTCCTATTTCTAAGACCCTCTTTATACTTCTGACAGAATTTAATCAGCCAACTAAATGCTAAAACTCTTCTCAGAAGGAAGCCAAGGATTTAGAAGAAACAAAAGCTTGAGATATAGGCCAGGAAATCTATTTATTTCTAACACATATGCAAATCAGTGACTTGGAGGCATTAGAAGTCAGCATGCCTTGGAGGAACATGATACTCAAATTAGCTGCATTACTCTCAAAGGAAACTAACTACAGTTCCAAAGTTGCAACTCTTGATATTCTTTCTGGAAAAGTCTTATGTTCCCTTAGTGTTTTAACATGGATCGACTTTATGTCCCCTTTGTGTTTTAACATGCATGGACTGACTGCACAGATTTATGTATGTGATTACTGGGCCAAACCAGTCTTGTGAATGAGTGGTCAGATTTCCCCTGTCCGTCATCAGGAAGCTACACACCATGAATCTGGTTTCTCCTGAGGATTACAGGCTGTCTGAGGGTGGTTGTTCAAGTTTGCTTTCTCTTGCTGTGATTAAAAAGACTGACCAAAAGCAATTTATGGAAGGAAAGGATTTATCTGGCTTAACACTTCTGAGTCACAGGCCATTTCTGAGAGAACCCACAGCAGAGTATCAAGGCAAGAAGCCTGAAGGCAAGATTTCTAGACTACCCAGCATTACCTCTGATTAGAAAGCTCACTCACAACCAAAGTCCAGTAGAAATCATGGAGGAATGCTGCTTACCGGCTCATTCCCAGGCTCATGCTTAGCTAGTTCTCTGATATAGCCCAGAACCACTTATGTAAGTATGGTGCCGCCAACAGTATTTGGACTCCTACAGACATTATCCTCATTTGTTTTCTATTGCTGTGATAAACAACATGGCCAAAGCAACTTAGGGAAGATTTATTTAGACTTATATTTATAAATAAATATTTATAATTTATACTTTGCAGTCATCATCTAGGGAACTCAAGACAGGGACTCAAGGCAAGAACCCTGGAAATAGGACATGAAACAGAGACCATGGGCAAATGATGCTTACTACATTGTTTCCCTTGACTTGCTCAGCTACCTTTCCTATTCAACTCAGGCCCATCTGTCCAGGGATGATACCATCAACAGCAGACTTGACATTCCCACACCAATCATCAATCAAGAAAAGGCTCCATAGACATGTTCACAGATAGGTCTGAATTGAAGCCTCTCCTCTCTTATGATACTAGGCTGTATCAAGTTGACAGTTAATACTAATTAGGACAGTAGTCCCAGAAGTAATGAGGTGTTGAGTAATATTTAGACACTGTGTGAAGATGTGTTGCTGTGATTGGTATAATAAAAAGCTGAACAGCCAATAGCAGGAGAGATAGGTGGGACTTCCAGCCAGAGAGAAAGGAAGAGGAAGAGAGGTTTGGGGTGTAAAGAGTCTTTCTTTACATTGCAGGGTTTCTCTTGTTTCTCCCTTGTTGCACCTTAGTTACTGTCCTGATTCTCCTATGACACAAATAATGTCACTTGACTTCTCCTTTTCATTGTCTTAGAAGTGGTCAGAGGTGGTGTAGTGGTCAGTGCTGTCACCTTGACAGGGTCTGGATTCTCCTAGATGTTGTATGATCCTGTTCCTGGGGAAGATGTGAACAAACGTCTACTCACATACAGGTGGGTTGACAATGGACCAAAGCATGGATACCAACAAAGACCAGCTTGGTGAACCAATGAGTTTTATTGAGGTTATGTGCAGGAATATGGGTGAAGAGTTAACTTACAGGAGCAAAAATAACTCAAAGACAGCTATATTACCAAAGGGATTCCAGCATAGATGATAAACTCACAAAAGCTGGGAACATGAAACTCACTGCACAACCTGCAGGCAGCTCAGCAGGCTGGAGAGAGTCCTTATCTGGTGATTCAGTTGGTCTAAGCCTCTTCCCAGGCAGCTCAGCTTGTCTGAGAATCTTCTAGGAATCTTGGCTTCGTCCAGGCCTCTTCTCTGTTCTCTGCTTCTTCCAGGTGACTGGGCTTGTCTGGGTGTCTTCTTTGCAACTTGTCTTGTTTGAGAGTGCCTCTCAGCAATCTTTACTGCTTCTATACTCTTGGAGAGGGAAGGGACCAATAAATCTGTTCAGTTTTAGGGGTTTCCTGGGGGTGTTCTGAGTTGTACACATCCTGTCTTACAGAGCATCCCTTCAGAGTAGAGCACCTCCACCTTGGGACAAACTTACACAGCACTAGAGAACAAGTATCCAAGTGTACCTGTGATGGGTTATTTAGATTATGTTGGCCTCTGGACATGTCTATGAGGAATTATCTTGATTAAGTTAATTAATATGGGAAAATCCATCCTAAAGGACAGAAGACTACTCCATTCCGAGACTTGGGTTGATCCTGGACTGCATAAAAGGGGGAAGTTAGCTGAGAATAGCATTCGTTGATGCAATGTGACCAGATGCTTTAAACTTACGAAAACTTGACTTCCCATCTGTGATAGATTAAGTCCTGAACTGGGAAATGGTTCCTTATGTTGCTTTTGTTCAGTATGTTGTTACAATGACAGAAGTAACTAACACAGGTGGATTTCTTTCTTTCACGTGTTTATGGTGTATACTGTGTGTATGCATGAGTGTATTCATGTTTGGGGAGGTCACACATGTGTGCAGGTGGGTGTGATTGGCATACATGTGAATGTAGAGCCTGGAATCTGACATTGGGAGTCTTCTTTGATTGTTTTCTGTCATATTCATTGAGGCAGGGTCTCTCATTTGAACCCAGAGCTCATCAATACACCTAGAATAGGTAACCCGCTTGATCCAGGATCATTGATGGCTGCCTTTTACGTGTTGGGATTACAGACCAGGTCCCATGTCTACCCAGTGTTTACATGGGTTCTGAAAGCCCCTTAACTACTGAGCCATCTCCCCAGATCCCTACTGGTGACTTTTTCAAAGTTTCTTCTTGCCCATATTGATAACTCACTCCATGATACCTCAAAACAGGGATGGTGGGGCTTTTGGCTTACCCAGACTCTATGCTATATGTTGAATAAAAACAAAGATCATTTCTACTATAACTTTCAATTCTAGATGAAGTCATGATGGCAATAAATCTACTCACTTATAGCTCCAGTAGAAAGAAGTCAGCAGTTTGTCTACTCAAGGGAGGAATCCTGATCTGTCCTCTCCTCCCTCGGAATGAAGGCCTACATCACTTGTAGTGATATATTATTTACTATTTAATAAAGCTTGCCTGAGGACTCAGAAAGAAAAGTAAGCTTCAAGCTATAAAGATTAGGCAGTGGTGGCACACACCTTTAATCACAAGACTCAGGATTACAGCATAGACAGTTCTCTGTTAGTTCAAGACAACCGTGGCCTACCCAAAGTAAGGAGTAATGGAGCTCATGCCCTTAATCTCAGTACCTGGGATCATATGCCTTCAATCCCAGCATTAGGAATGTATATAAGACAGGAGCTAGGTCTCAGAGCTGGTATTCAGTCTCAGGTTCTCCAACCATGTTGAGGAGAGCATAGCAGTCTGGGATTTCAGTCAAAGGTTTGGTGGAGCCAGGATCACCCTTTCATCCTGAGGTAGAGATAAGAACTAGTTAGTGGCCATCTGCTTTGCTTTTCTGCTTGAACCCCAGTATCTGTCTCTGGGTCATTTATTTTTCATGCTACAACTGCCTGTTTTGATGTTCTATTTAGATGAGAGAAGATGATGGTTTCCATCCAAAAATTAAGAATGTGTGAAGGCACTGGGGCTTCCATAAGTTTCGATATGAGAGAATCACAAGTTATTATGCTTTGCATCCTCTGTGCCTGGAATTGAATGTTATTGTTGTCAGATTTGTGAACATACATGATTTAGATGTTATCCATTAGGAAAAAGAACTTTCATGGTTTTACTCTCTTGTCAGTGTCAGGAAGAAGTTTTAAGAGTTCCAGGGACAAAATACTCAGTTTTTACCATTGGTGCTGGCAGTTGAACCCAGGTCTCAGACAATCTAGGGAAGCACTCTGCAAACTCCCTAATCTATTTTAAAAGAGACATGGGTATATTGTTGCCTCCCAATAGATACAGGCAGATTTACCCTTTCTAACATCATGTATATGCCTACAGGGGAAGAAGAAAGCCTGTCCCTAAGGGCCGAATGTGAAGATAAACAGGAGGCAGGACTACCAGGGCTAAGGGAGTCTACAGGGGTCACACCATGACATGTGGCTCTCGGCCAACCACCTACTGAGGTTTCCTGCAGATCGCATGGCATTCAGAGCAAGCCAAGCACCTGTAATGAATCCCATGTGCCACACTGGCATAGAGGGGGTCCTAGACTTCCTTAACAAAAATATTTAAATAGTTCTAAAACACAGAGCAAAGAAAATAATGAATCCTTAGTTAAAATTTACTTGCTTTGGTGGTGGTAGGTGTGGCGGTGGTGGTTGGTGGTAATAGTGGTGATGGAAGTGATAGTGGTGTGATGGTGGTTACTGTTCTTTTGTTTAGGGGAAACAGGGGCTTTTTTGATACATTGTAGCCTAGTCTGATTCTCCTGCCTCAGCACCCCCCCCCCACTGACTGGTTTTGTGTCAACTTGACACAAGCTAGAGTCATCAAAGAGGAAGGAGCCTCAGCTGAGGAAATGCCTCCATGAGATCCAGCTGTAAGGCATTTTCTCAATTAGTGATCAATGGGGAAGGGCCCAGTCCATTGTGGGTGATGCCATCCTTGGGCTGGTGGTCCTGGATTCTGCAAGAAAGCAGACTGAGCAAGCCATGAGAAGCAAGCTAGTAAGCAGCACCCCTCTGTGGCCTCTGCATCAGCTCCTGCCTCCAGGTTCCTGCCCTATTTGAGTTCCTGTCCTGACTTCCTTCAGGTAAACAGTGATGTGGAAGCATATGTCAAACAAATTCTTTCCTCCCTGAGTTGCTTTTGGTTATGGTGTTTTGTCTTGGCAATAGTAACCCTAAAACAGCCTCTAAAGTCCTGGGAGTAGAGGTAGGTACCACCCACCATACCTACCTCGGTCTTGTGACTACCAAAATGTCTGAATTCGTTTTTTTCTTTTATAACACCAAAAGTTCAGTAGTTTTGATATAGTGCACAGTTGAAATTGGAAGTCATGCCAAGGCAAAAATGGTTAATGTAACTGCGTTTCATAATATCTGGAAGGCTTGTGATTGAAGGAGTAGCTATCTATCTATCAATTTTGCATCCATGATCTGTCTAGGCAAGGTCAGGCCTGGAGGAAAGCAATACAACTCTCGCTAAATTTGGTGTTTTTTTCCTGTGAAGAAAAATCCACAGAGTATTTTCAAAATATGTTGTCAATGGATTTCTAATGAACTCCTGGTACATTTTTTTAAGTGTATGCATGCATACACTGGCCAGCCCTGATGGGAGTAAACAGCAATGAGAGGAAGGCAATTTCAAATACAATGATTTGAATGAGAATGGCCCCATAGGCTCATATATTTGAATGCTTATTCTGCAGTTTGTGAAACGATTTGGGAAGGATTTGGGGGTGTGGCCTTGTTGGAGGAGGTCATTGGGGTTCGAAGTCATTTGAGGTTTAAAAAACCCATGCCTCTCCCAGTGAGCCTCTCCCTTCCTATTGTCCTTGTTGTCTCAACATGTGATCTCTCAGCTGCTGTTTCAATGCCATGTCTACCTGCCACCATGCTCCCTGATGTTGTGGGGTAGTCACCAGAGAAGACTGCTCTGACACAGGATTAAGCCAATATAAAGGCTTTTTTAGGCAGCAAGTGACTACACTGGGTGTTTGGGATCCCAGTGTAGCACGGAGCCTTTGTTTGTTTGTTTGGTTTGGTTTTTCAAGACAGGGTTTCTCTGTATTGTTTGGAGCCTGTCCTGGAACTCACTCGGTAGAACAGGCTAGCCTTGAACTTACAGAGATCCGCCTGCCTCTGCCTCCCGAGTGCTGGGATTAAAGGCATGCGCCACCAACACCCAGCTGTGAGGTGGTTTTTGTTGTTGTTGTTGATATTTTTCTTATTTAATTACATTTTTTTCATTTTACATTCTATCCCCAGTTCCCCCTCGCTCTCCTGCCTCAGGGTGAGTTTTTAAGCACAAAAGCCGTACCATGGTTTGGCGTACTTCAGTTAACAAGAACAGAGTTGTCCAGAAGTGGAGCTACAGGAGCAAAAAAGCAAGGTGAATACATTTTGAGACTTCCCCAGAACTATGGGCTTTGATGGATTAGGACTTAGTTTTGGCAGGTGGTGCTATCTACTGAATTTTATGGCCTGAATGATAGATACTTACATCCTGGAGTCAGTTGTGCTAAGGTCTGGGAGCCTGTCACACTGACATGATAGTCATGGACTGGACTCAACCTCTGAAATGTAAGCAAGCCCCCAATAAATGCTTTCTTTTCTTAAATTGACTTGGTCATGGTGTCTCTTCATAGCAATGCAAAAGGAACTAAGACGCAAAGTATAGCAAGTCACCCAAAGCAGTGGAAATCAGACATTTCTTGGCATTCCTTTTGGACTGATAAGCAAGGTACAACATTAAATAGTGTCACTGATATATTTCCAATTAGCCACCGAGAAAAATCTCTGAAGTAGCAGATGGCCAACTGCTCATAGAAGGGACTTAAGAAAACAGAAGTAGGAAAAAACCTCCAGGAGATATGTTGGGGGTATATGGACCTGTGGCTGGGCTCACAAACTCACCCTGGCATCAGCCATCATTACAGTGGGGTCCTTGCAGATTGAATGCCAGTTCTGTTGAAAGCATAAGCCATCATTTTTAAAATCAGTGTTTGTATTCCTGCATTGTTAATTACTGCAATGAGAAGAGGTTTATTTTAGCTGATAAATTTGGGAGTGTGAGGTACTGAGTTTGCATCAGGCAATGCTTCTTATCAGGTTTGCTTTTTATCCAAGTCTCAAGGCAGTATAGGTTATCACCCAGCCCAAGCTTGTATGAGTGTGTCCTCCCTCTCCTCTTGTCTCTCTCTCCTCTCCTTTCTCTCCCTTCTCCTTCCCTCCTCCCTCCATCTCTTTCTGTATGTCTGTTTCTCTCTCTCTCCCCAACATACTGCTTAACTGTCAGGATCCAACCACGGGAGCTCTACCCGCATGGCGTTATCTAATCTAACTTCTCAAAGCTCCACCTCTAATTAGCACAGGTTGTTTCCACTCTCCAGATAACATTGCTATAACGACTTCAGAGGTTACACTCCTTGCTTGAAACAATTGCCTTCGGAGCCAAGCAACCAACATTTAGAGAAGTTCAGCTGTGCCTCCTCCTTTGCAAAAGGCCATCCCAGCTGGGGGCACTCATGGTGTACACTCCCACCTCCTCGCCCTGCCCCACCCCACATAGAAGGGCAGAGTAAGGCAGATCCCCTCATCTGAGAATCCAGCTGCCCTATCACCTGACACCACTGCACATAGCTTTGGCCGGGGTGGAGTTTGTGGAGGCAGGAGAAGACTAGAGCAAAAGTTACATCTAGGTGGGTACTGAAAAGCCCTCACTAGGGGTGAGGCTTTTTCAGAACTAGCTGGTTCGAGGAGGAATGCCCACACACCCCTGTAAGTAAATAAACCTTCCTCTAGTTCTATACGGAAGTCCAATACATTCATTGGTTCCCAGAGTAAACTTTGGTGGACTCATATCTTGGTTTATCCTTGGGAGCTTAAGGAAGAGAGATAGACCTTGCTTTATGTCTCCTCCAGGGAAGGAACTTTAGCAACACTCTTGCAGGAATTTAGGTGGACAGTTACTGTTCCTAAAGGGTTCTTTTGTTCCATCTCTGCTTTTCTAAATACAGTTATGGAAGCAGAAAAGATAAATCAAGAATTGTAGGAGTGAACCCCACAAAGCTACCCGCCCAACAGGGCGGGGTCAAGGTAGAGATAAAAGGTAGTGAAAGGAAAAGGGGCCTCCCTCTTTTCTCCTGGAAGCCAGCCACGCTTCTAACTCCTGGTATGTGCAATTCTCTCTGATAAAAAAATATATTGTTTTCCCTATAGAGTATCGAGTATAACTATAAAGAATATTTGCTTTTTTAATAAACCATAGTTTCAATTTAAAAGATTTTTGTCATTGCATTGAGATTGGGTCTGTCTTTTATGTAGCTCTGGCTGTCCTAGAACTCATATCCCAAGGGCTTGGATTAAAGGCCACCAGGGCTCCATTTAAAATATTTTATTTTTAAATTAGCATACAAAGTAATGGATTTTGTTGTAACACTTTCATGCATACACATCATTATACTTTTTCTTATCCATCCTTCTCCATTACTTCCTGTCCCCATCTCATCTACCACCCTTTTAAGGGTCCTTTCCTTCCCAAATACCTCCCCGCTTCTGTTTTCATGTCACAGGTATTCCATACTCTTATTTTTTCTCCCCTCTCCTTAAGATCTCTATCTCACCTCTCACAGGCCTCTTTATCTTCATCTCTCTCTCTCTCTCTCTACACACACACACACACACACACACACACACACACACACACACACACGCCACATGCTTAAACCCAGAGTCTGCATATGACAGAAAAGTGTGTTGTATTTACCTGTCTGAGTGTCTGGTTTATTTTACTTGCCATATTTATCTCCAGTTTTATCCATTTTCCCACAAATGTTATAATTTCAGTTTTCTTTATGGCTAAATATAATGTCATTTTGCATATATACTTCAATTTGTTTATCAATTCATTTATTAGTGGTCATGTAGGCTGCTTCTGTTTCTTGGCTTTGAGAACAGTGCAACAGTAACCTGTGTGTGCAAGGGTCTCTGTGGCATGTTGACTTTGAGTTCTTAGGGTAGAGACCAAGGAGCAGTGTAGCTGAGTGATATGGTAACTCTATTTTTAAGTTTTGGAAGAATCTCCAGCTGAGTTCCATAGTGACTGCACCGGTTTCCTTTTCTTACAACATTTTTCCTTCTTCAGTCACAATTTTTGAACCTAATAGCTAAAATAATTATGGCCCTTTTATATATGTCACAGTGCCTCAGCATTTCATATTTCTTGTGTTTCCAAGTGCTTTGTACACTTGTTGGTTTGACTATCTCTTCTGGCTTTATTTTAGGAGATTCTCAATGAGCAGCCTATTTCCACTGATTACAAAATAAACTGTTATAATAGCAACACAAAGAAAGAATCACAGTTAGAATCGTTTAAAGCATGCTAACATATGACCAATTGTGGTGGTTTGATTGAGAATGACTCCTATAGGCTCATGTGTTTGAATATTTGGTCCCCAGTTGGTAGAACTGTTTGGGAAGTCTTAGGATGTGTGGCCTTTTTAGAAGAGGTCTTTCAATGGGGCAGACTTTGAGAATTCAAAAGACTAGAGTGTGTTCTCTCTATCTCTCCCTTTCCCTGTCCATCCCTCCCTCTCCCCATCCATCCCTCCCTCATCCCATCCATCCCTCCTCCCCATCCATCCCTCCTCCAAGCCCATCCCTCCCTCTCCCCATTATCCCTCTCTCACCCCATCCATCCCTCCTTCTCCAAGTCCATCCCTCCCTCAACCCATCCATCCCTCCTTCTCCAAGTCCATCCCTCCTTCTCCCCATCCATCCCTTCCTCCTACTTTTGTATTAAGATGTGAGCTCTTGACTGGTCCTGCTGCAGTCACACCTTTGCTCCACCATCTTAGACTCCAGCACTTTGAAACCAGAAGTCCATATAAATGCTTTAGTTTATAAGTTGTCTTGATTATGGAGTTTTGTCACAGCAAAAGAAAAATAGTTAATACACCAATGAACATAAACTATAAAATAGTAGTAATGTAGACTGTACTGTGAAATTTAAAATTATTCAGACTGGGTACAATGGTACACATCTTTAATCCCAGCACTCAGAGATCTGTGTGAGTTTGAGACTAGCCTTGTCTACATAGAGAGCTCCAAGACGACCAGGGCCATGTAGAAAGAATCTGTCTCAAAAAATATATTCAGGATAAATGTAGAAATAGTAAATGATAAAAGACAAAGGAAGTAGGTGCAGGGAAAGGGAGAAATGGATAGGAGCATGGTTAAGAAATAAAAAGAGTGGTGGAGAAGAATGTTATAGAGAGGACATGAAGAAGAGATTAGGAAAGACAGAAAAGGGATAAAAATGATTTCTCAATATTAAGAAGGTTTGAAAACAAAATTAGATAAATTAAAAGGGGGAATTGAAAATAAAAGCATGTATTTAAATACAAAGCACACCGGGACACCTTTAATCCCAGCACTTGGGAGGCAGAGGCAGGAGGATCTCTATGAGTTTGAGGCCAGCTTGGTCTACAGAGCGAGTTCCAGGACAGGTTCCAAAACAATACAGAGAAACCCTGTCTCGAAAAACCAAAACCAAAAAAAAAATACAAAGCACATTAGAGAGATAAAAGGAAAAGCATAGAGGCAATGAAAAAAGAAAAGAAAATTTTAAAATATTGCCCTGCCATGAAAATACTACATAACAAAATTAGATGAATGTTTGAAGGGGAATTTAAGAAAAACATAAAAACTTTAGAAAAATAATTGAAAACAAAATGACTACTATAAATATAATAATAATTTTTAAAAGGAGATGAAGCAAAAATCCATGGGGTGGGGCCCCAAGGACCAGGGATGGGGTGGAGATGAAGTGACAGAGCAGCTTCCTTTTGGATACTCTTAAAAGGGAGACTGCTGCTTCTTTGCTGGGGGTCTGGGTGTCAGTTGAACTTGTGGGCTTGTCTTTCCCCTGGTTTATGTGTTGGACAAGTGCCCAGTATCTGCCAGACCTGGCCTGACTTGGGCAGTTTCCCTTCTCTGTGTATCAGTGGCCTCTACTGGCTACACTGAGCTTTGCACCCTGTGGGCTGGGCAGGCTTTCCCATCCTCCTTAGATTCTCAGCTCACACCAGCAGGGCTAGCTTCTGTTCTAGTAGGGACATGTCTCCCAGTTACACAGTTACACTGAGAGTGTGAGAAGCAGCCACAGCTCTGAGGCCTAGCCTCATACCGTCTTCTGTATTTATCAGCCTGTTAGAAGGATGCAGCTGCGGGGGTCAAGGAAAGGGATGAGAATCCTGCTGAGCTTGTACGGGGGCATCAGACTCCAGGCCTATTCTCATTTGATGAGATCTGCTCCTGGCTCCCAAGGCTAGCTTTCTCTCCTGCTATCTGTAGGTTTTGACTTGTCCGCATCAGGCCCTTTGCATTTTCTTATTGCTGTAACAAAATGGCTGACAAGAAACAATGTAAAAAACAAGGGGTTTGTTCTCCCCTACATTTTGAGGAGATTTGGTCCTTTATGGGTGGGAAGGCATGGCTACAAAACAGGGAGGCCAGCTAGTCACATTACATCCACAGTCAGGAAACTGAGGGGGCCCTGGCTATAAAGCCTCAAGGCCTGCCCCTGTGATCCAGTTCACCCACCAAGAGTCTGCATCCCCAAGCTCTATAACCTGCCCAAAGAGCCTCACCCACTGGGGACCAAGTGCTCAAGCACATGAACCTAGGGGAGACATTTCCTATTCAAGCCACAACACTCTTACACTCTTCACAGGCAGGGGGGGGGAGGGGGCTGTTGATCTTCGATTATTTTCCCCTGATCACCCATATTTTCCCAGCTCTTTTTTAGGTAACTTAAGAGAGATCAGCAGCCTTGGAAATCACTGAGAATGGACCCCTCCCTCATAGTCGACAGCATATAAAACCAGGAACTGAAACCACAAGATTCTGCTGGTTACAAGAATGGAGTCTGAGTCATATTTTTGGCTGGGTCTAGACATAGCATTCTGAATTATGCAGCTAATCATAAGATTACTGTCTAGACAAAGGCATTCTGGTGCAGAACAAGGATACACTCTAGTCTCCTCCTATAGGAGTCAATACAAATGGGCCTGTCAGTCACCTGGGTAGGAAAACATACTTCAAGGAAATGTGTTGGAGAGACTTGGGAACTATTAATAAAGCATACCTAAAATACAGGTCAGTGCAATGGTTCCTTTGGCCCAAGTCTTCCCTCAGGCTTTGTGCTTCATTTTGCTTTGTAACAAACCCTATCTACCTTTCACACTACATACAGTCTTTCTCATCTGAATTCTTCCGACAGAGGTCACAAGGACCAAGGTGCTAAAGAGTGGTCAAAGTAAGATCTTAGTGACACTATCATTGCCTTTATAAATATTCAAAGCTCTCGTCTCTAACTTTGGAATTGAGTTTATTTTTTTTCTCTTGTTCTGACTGCTTCATTGTATCCCACAGAGACAGCTTCTGGAACGTCATCTTACCTGGAAGTCTAGAACACAAAAAGTATTTTCTTAGTTTATGTTATCAGGCATAGATAATTCAAAACTCCACAACACCTGCATGCAAGTAGAGACCACAGGGAGACACAGATGACCTATTTGACTGGTTTCATGATTCCAGGCTTGAACACTAGTTACTTTCCATCAAGGGGAGTATTTTTGAGGACATTGACATGCATAAGAAGCATATTAACATAAAAATGTTTTACTTTTCCTACTTGATCCTAATAAGTGGAACCAGGGTCATTTCAGGAGTCCTTCAAAAAAGGAACTGTCAAAGGAAGTTCAGATTACCTTGTATGAGTTACCTTTAAATGGCAACTCGGCACAATCCAGAATTACCTGAGAAGATAGTCTGAATGAGGACTTGTTTACATTTGTTTGGCTATGATGGTATCTCTGGGAGATTGTCTTCATTAAGTAAATTGATGTGGGAAAGCCCAGTCTACTTTGGGCGGAACCTTTCCTTATGTACAGGATCCTGACTTGTGATATAGAGCTAAGCATAAGAAAGCAAGCAAGCAAAACTGTATGCATTCATTTTTCTCCACTTTCAACTATGCATATGATGTGGCTGGCTTTCTGCAGTTCCTGCCTCGACTTCCCCACAATGATGAACTAACCTGGAACTATAAGATGAATTAAGCTCCTTTCTCTCCTAAGTTGCTTTTTTGTCAGAATATTTTATCACATCAACAGAAATAAAACTAAGACATCACCAAAGACTGCCAAAGATCTCTTTTTGCTTGAGAAATATACAGGGCAGATGTCTTTTACTTACTCTCTATTCAAATTTTAAAATACTAAATTTTAAAGCTTCTTAAACTTTTTTAACTTTTTGAAATTAAAATGCAATTATTTCATTTTCCCCCTTCCCTTTCCTTCTTCCAGTCCCTCCCATGTAACCCTACTCCTCACTCTCCCTCAAATCCATTGCCTCTATTTCCTTAATTGCTGTTATATATTTTCTATATTTCATAAAATTATATAACAAAATTTTATAATATAACTTTATATACTATATTAACTACTTCTAAGTCTGTATAATGTTCTTTGCATGTATGATTTCAGAGCTGACTATTTGGCATTGGATAACCAATTGGTATGTTCTTTCCTGGGGAAGACTATTTCTTCCCCTCTCAGCATTCCTTCTTTGCCTGTAGTTCTTTCTCTAGGGTGAAGGCCTTATGAGCTTTAGCCCTTCTGTGTTAGTATGTCTATTGGATCATCATTGTCCAGGTCTTGCTTGCATGGTCGTGTTGATGGTATTTCATGGGTGCAGCTTCTCTGACATTTCTAGATGACACAATTTCTTCCTTTTCCTCCAACTTACAATCTCCCTACCCACTTCCACTATGAACCCTGAGCCGTAGGTCCAGGAGTTGTGTTGTAGATGTATCACCTGGGGCTGGGAACCATGGGTCGCTTATTTCTTACATTTCAGTTAGTTGTGTTTTTCTAAAGTGGTCTCTGGCTGTTATAAAGATATACTTATTTGATGAGAGGTGATATCTATACTTATCTCTGGGTATAAGGATAAATATTTAGAATCTATTTAAGGATTGTGCTGGTTTAGTGACATGGTAGTTGTAGTGTTTTCTCCAAGATCTATGATATTACTAATCCTGGATTGTTGGTTAGATTTCCAGTACCAAGCATGATTTCTCTCTTTGAGTGGGTCTTAAGTCCAATTAAAGAGCTATTTGATCATTACCAAGGTATGTGTGCCACTATTGCACTCTTAGGGATTTCTGATCATGCTGGTCATCACATCATAGCTGTGGAAGATTATTGATTGCTTCTCTGCTTTGGAAACTTTCAAGGCACCATGAAAGCTAGTCTGCAGGAAAGAGACTTGGATCCTCTGGGTCCTGTGTGTAAAGTATATGGTGTCTTCAGCAATAGGGACTTACCTTCAACCTTTGGGAGGCAACTGGGGACAACAATGGCCTTTTGTGTTTGGGGCACCTCTTGTAAAAGCATAAGGAAGAGAGGGAGGGAGGGGGATACTTTTTGACTTCAAGGATTCTTATAGCAAAGTGTTTTCCAGAAGGGTTTACCACAATAAGAACATTCTGTAACTGTGGCATCCAATATGACAACCCCTGGGTACAGATGATTATGAGCACTTGAAGTTGTTTACCTGTAATTAATTTAAATTTTTCCTTAAAGGGCTGCATGTGATTTGTGGCTACAATACTGGACAGGATCAGTGGAGAGCAGACATAGAAGGTCCCATGTGGCCAACAGAGTATCTTCCAAAGTCTGAAGAAGACCATGCTTTTATAGCCATCCTGACAGGAGAGAAGATACTCTCAAGGGAGATTCTTGCACCTCTCCCTTTGTCACTCAGGATATTGAAACAGGGCGCCACAAGGAATAGAAATTTCTCTGGAAATCTTCTTCTGGAAAAAGGGAACAATTGAGGGCCTGGCCTCACTCAGAGGAGGAACTTGTCTTCTAGGAAATATTTCACAGCTTACCAGATCATATTGCAGACTGCAGCTAAGACAAAGATGGGTCAGTGATGGGGGAGCCACACCTTGCCCAGGACTGCTTAGTTACATACACTTCTTGCTCTCTATTTAAACCTAAACCTCGTACCAGTAACATGATGATGGACTTGGGGAGCCAAGGGGACTTTTTATTTGTTCTGCTTCCCAATGTGGCCACAATGAACAGATCTTTCTCTACTCTCTATTGTGGCTCATCCCTTTAAACAGATAGAGGTGGCTGAGCCCTGCTTGTTAGAGATGCCAGGGCCCAGGCTCTGATCTTTAAAAACTATCATCACACTTTTGTCTTGGAGCTGGGTCATGAGCCTGCTCTTGAATACAGGGGGTGTCTTAGAACATCGATTCTCAAAACAAGGTTCCATGACAGCAACAGCAGCAGTGTCTGGGACCTTGTTAGAAATGCGTAATCTCAGGCCCACCCAGATCAACTGCATCAGCCCAAATTTCTAATAAGATCCCTACATGACTTATAATGAGCACTCAGGTTGGGGACATGCTACCAGGAGCGATCTGCTCTATGCTCTGTGAAGAGAAGTCATTTGCACGGCCCTTTCCACAAAGTCCCCGTATGTTGCCATCTGTGTCAGAATTGCTGGAATTGCCAAATATAGGCAGGTATCAGATCTACCAGGAGACCTCTTTAAAGTGGAATCCATCAATGAAATAAAGAAAATAAGAGTCATAGCTTCATCCCCACAAGCTTTCATGTCTATGGGATCAAAGGGAAAAATATAGAGAATTTTGGACACAAAAACACAGCTTTCATCTCAAAGGAAATAATAGTTTATTCTGGAGCCCCATATGAGTGACCATGTCAGAGGAACACAGATATAAGTTGCTCCAAATGTTGTATTCCAATACAGTAACAGTTTCATGAAAGTTTTACAGAACAAAGTCATAAATCAAGGTGCTTTTAATACATTAGTGGAAACAGAGTGGGCAGGCTAGACCCAAGTGGGGAAGGCTCCACTATAGGCCTCTGATACTGTCTGGTGACACTGTTAGCCCTTGGGCTTGTGGAAGCTAGAAGTCTGCCAGTATGTTGCAAAAGGATTTTATCTGGTAGTCACAAGGATGCTCAGTTAAAAACGGAGGTGACAACATGTGACTGTTTTTTCTGTTGTGTACACTTGTATGCCAGCAATGTGGAGGACACTGGATGTCCTGCTCTGTCACTGTCTTGCCTTTTTCTCACTGAACTCTATCTGAACCTGGAACTTGCCATTTTGGCTAGCCTGGCCACCATCAAGCCCCAGTGATCCTCCTATGTCCACCCCCAACCATGTGTGTGTTATGGCACACAACTTTGGCCACAGCTAAGTTTTTACCTGGGCCCTGGGTATTAAACTCAAGTTCTACATTTGTGTAACAAGTCTTCTTACCCTCTGCCTAAGAAATAGCCAAAAATAGTTTAAAATAACTTGGTTCTAGAGCTACAATATTCCAACCTTCACAATTACTAGTTTTAATCTGTCAGTAGTCCACCTTATAAAGTATTTAACACAGGTGATACTTCCCCCACCCCACCCTGGGACCTTCAGTTCACAGGATTCAGCTGAAAGGTAAAGCTCCCACTCAAGGTGGATCTCACTGATTCTCAGATTCTCCCACTCCCTGCTTTAGATGCGGACACACATCAGAGGTGTGACTAAACACTTTAAGCTAGGGGTGGGTGGATGACAAACAAACACTGCATTCAGCAAAACTTGGCAGGAAACAGAACAGAGAGGAGAGAAGGTATCTGTGAGATTAAGTAGGGACAGGTTCCCCAGGAGGACATGTAGGCTGTTCATTTTGATAGGACAATTAAGATGCAGCTAGACAGCAGAAGGAATCAAAACACAGCCATGACACAAGGAACAGAAGATGACTGGGTAATTACTATGCTTGTGGAGTGGCAGTCTGTAACACAAAAAATAAAAATAGATATTGGGGTACAAGCTGATGGTCAGATAAGCAAGGCAGTCAGCCACTAGCTTTTACCTCTACCTCAGACTGAAAGGGTGATCCTGGCTCCACAAATCCTCAGAGTACAATGCTCTCTCCAGGGATTGTCAGAAACAATAGCTCTCCCTGTCTGGAAACTAAATCTCCACATGAGACCTTCTGCTTCTTCCTTTCATACATCACTACTGCTGGGATCCCAAGTGCTGAGCTTGGT